TTGCAGCTGAGAAAAGCCAGCTTCCATTGAAAATGAATGACTTCCGGCCGCTTTGGAAGCTCAAGTCGGCGGCGGTGTGAACGTACAGTAACACCGGGTTTCGATACCCATCTCTACATATGGGTGAGTTCATATGGATGAAGGCCTGTTGTGTTCTGTCTCTTGGTTTGTGATAGTGGCAGCTATTGTGAAACTCACCTTCGTCATCTACTGAGTGTGGATGGCATCAAGATCTTGTCCTGAAGAATCACAGGGCCAAACGATTATATCTCATCTGGTAACAAAAGCATAGCCATAACTTTAAGATCCCCTGAATTAAAGAATTTCAGTATTTATCAGTAAAAAATACATAAAAATAAATAAATACCTTTGAGTTGGACAGTATGTTGTCTGTCTCATTGGCCAACATAATTAAAAACACGCCTAGAGAAATCAAATAAAATATACCAATGACCATGATATCCTGTTATCATAATAGTTAAATTAATTATTATAACTATGACCATTATAACATTTGCCACGGATTATTTGGCTGATTATTTAGCCTACAGGCTTCTCAAGGACAGTCTCACTTAAAAAAAAAAGGTAAAGTGTGAGACTTCATTCAAAAGCATATATCCTACAGACCCCCAACTTTTGAACAGTAGTGCACTGTATGTTTAAAGTTTTGCTTACTAGTCGAGTTCATAGCCGTGGAGATTTTCTTGGACAGGGTGCAGCAGGCCATCAGCATGATGATGATCTTCTAGAACATAACATGCAATGTGTCACAGAGCCAACAATGTTACATAGGATTTACAATAGAACATAGGGTTTATTACAAGGAAGCAAGCTAGAGCAGAGATGAAATGCAGAAATGAGAAATAATATATATATATATATACATATTTATATACATCTCAAGGTAATATATATTGTGAAATAAATCATCTGGAATTATTATCATGATTTACAGTAATTTCCCCTTTGTTGTGGAGGTTTTTTTCTGTTCCGCCTGAAATCCCTTTTTTTTTTAAATTATCAGTATTTGTAAGTGACGTCACTGATTAACAGTAACCGTTACAGTGAACTATTTTAGGTTAAATAGCTTACTTCTAATCACCCATTGACAAATTACCAGCAAAACAAAACTATCAAAAACTGTTATCAACACAAAGATGTGGTTAAAACCCCAAACTTATGTAACGTTAAAACAAGATTTCCAGTGTAACGTTAACTTACCTCTTCTGAAAACAGTTGAGATGCTAACGGACTTTTTCGAAGACACAAACCCATTTCTATAAAGTAAATATTCAACAGAGCGTATTAATTACACGTAAGAAGGGTGTCAGGAACGTTTGTATCTATTATTAGTGTGATTTTGTTAACTAAACTTACCTGAAAGCAGCGAAAACAACAGCGAGAGAAGTTACTTTTGCTGTGTGTCAGTTCAGTTGATGACGTTTCCTCGTTTCCATCTGATCGCGCGCACGCTCCTGTCTTTGAATGCGACTCGAATGTTTACGCGCACGCGCATTAAAACCAGAACACTTCAAAGGCACGCAGCATTTAAATAAACATCTAGAATTATAACATTTTAAATCATGATTTTAAAACTCATTGTGTAGTTCTATGACCCAATCACTTCTATATTTTTTATACCATCACTTTGCTTTTGCTTTTATTTTTATTATATATAGGCCTAATTTCTCCCATTCTTTATACGAGCAACCATAGCTCCGGATAGATAAATTTTTCTGTCGCAGTTTTTTTTTCTTTTTCTCTGTGTTATAAGTGTTGTAACACTTATAACGGGACACACATGTCAAGTGCTGAGAATTCAGTAGGCAAAAAAATTATATTTAATGATAAATAGTTATGACATTTTGGGTGTATGAAAAATAATTAATAGATGACCAGATAAACTCATTAGTAGACAAATTTATTTATATATATATTATTTTATTTATTCAATTTCGTTTATATATATATATATATATATATATATATATGTATATATATATAAATGAAGCATGGGTATGCATAAGACATTATTTATATATATATATATATATATATATATATATATATATATAATCAGTATATATTGTGACACTGGACCACAATTTATATATATATAACTATTATAATAAGATTATTTATGACATTAAGATTATTGTATTAAGAGTAATAAATAGCTAAATCTGTAATAAATATATACTGTAGTAAAACTATTCTTCATTTTGTAGTTGGTTCTGCTGCAAATGCTGTGGTAAAACCATGGTTAATTTTTGCATTTACTCTGGTTTTACTACAAAACTATATTAATCATGGTTACTGTAGTAAAAACCATGGTTATTTTCGTAGTTACTATGGTTTTACTACAAAAATCATGGTTCATTTTATGGTTACTATGGTTTTACTACAAAAACCATGGTTCATTTTATGGTTACTATGGTTTTACTACAAAAACCATGGTTAAACCAAGGTTATTGTAGTAAAACCATGGTTCGTTTGTAGTTACTATGGTTTTACTGCAAAAACCATAGTTAAACTATGGTTCATTTTGTAGTTACTATGGTTTTACTACAAAAACCATAGTTAAACCATGGTTACTACAAAAAAACCATGGTTACTACATAAAAACCATGGTTAATTTTCGTAAGGGTGTTTAAACCTTAATTTCATCAGCAGGGCTTACTTCTGCTATTGTAGGCTTATTTTGTAAATATAAGCAGTTTAGACAAGTGCAAACTGGGTGCTTAATGCAAATGTGTTCCTATTCACAAAATGAGAGGCTTTTATGGTCGCCCATCAATGCAAATGTCTCTGTGTATAGAAGGATCATAAACATTCTGGTACTGACGTACCAGTTCGGCCAGATTCGGCTCGAAGTCGTTCATCTTCGGATGCGGCGCCGCGCGCGATGTTACAAAAAGTGCCGTGCACACCGCCAGGCGAAATGGGGTCTTGCGCACCCAACGCGCACGACCGCCCACACCGCAATGACGTCATTTTTGCCGCGCGGACCTTCGCGCTCTTGCGGACGCGTCGAGTATAAACAAGGCTTTACAGTCCTGTCTAATACGTTATTATATAGAACTGTTACACAAAGAAGGGTAGACAGTATTTGAAAAGGTATTAGCGTTTGCCGTGTGGTTGATGTTTAGTGTTGCTAGCTGTGCAGAAATACATAATCATGTTTCTCTTGGTCCCCTCAAAGTTGCGTTGGATTTTCTCCTTAGCGTAAAGGTTAAGAGGCACATCTATCACGGTTTTCCATGTTCGTAGAATTAGTTTCTGTAGTAAATATATAGGCTTTAATCTGTGTGTACACGCCTTTTAAAAAAAACGCAAGTGCTGGTCTTTCGCTTGCGTTCAGCCAATCAGTGTACACTTACGTCACTGGTAGTTCCTATAGTGGTGGTTTTGACCCTACTCTGAAGTAGAAGCTTAATTAGTTCCTCCAAAAGGAGTTCCTAGAACTAAAATCATTCCTAGTTCCTGAAGTGCGAAGATGCCAAAAAACAGGTACTTCCGCCAATAGTTCTAGGAACTATGAAAAGGTTCCTCCGGTGCGAAAGCCCCTATAAACTTTGCGAAGCGATTTACCAATCACAACACACTGGTCCAGTTGACCAATCAGAGCATATTGTGCTTCTTTTTTTTTCAGAAGGAGGGACTTCATAGAGACAGGAACTAAACAGTGTTACTGACAGACTGGGGAGAGAGGAGCTGCAACAATGTCAAATATGAGAAAAAATAATGTGGTTATTTTTTAACATTAAATGTGAAAACCCATTCTAGCAGACCCCAAAACCAAAATCAAGACTTTTGAAAAGGGCATATAATGGCCTCATTCATACACAGTTTATTATAAACATTTGTTCATGGCCTGCTGGTTGTGTTTATCTGGGTTTAAGTTGTTGCTTATGTTGCGTAAATATTAATAAATGACATAACATATGCACATTGAACTAATAATTGGCCTTGGATGATCCAGACGAAAAATATGGTGCATCCAACAGCAGAAATTCTTCATTGTCAGCAGTGCCAAGTTAAGCATCCCATCACAGTCTTTGTTTATGAACGGAAGAGCCGAATGGCCACACATTATGCTCCAGTGATAATGCCTGTTGGCAACAGATTCAAAGAAGCCACTGGCAGACTTCCTGCATCTCACAGGACACAACTGCTAGCTCTTAAACTCCTGACTGGTGTGGGAATTTCAAGTACATTTAGTTTAATTTAGGTACAATGTTCTTCTTAACATGGAAAAACTTCAATATTCACTGGATTAAATAAGCTAAAAAAGTTTAAAAAAAAAAAATAAAGAAAAAAAAACATTATTTAAAAAAAATCAATGTGGTTTGTTCAGGCAAAAAAAGTTAATTTCTGTACAATGTTCTTTGGCAGGCAACATTTTATGAACATTTCAACTGTTTAATGTGAAATTCCATGTGCAATAATGTAACATGATTCTACAATTATTACATTTGCATTTGTGACATTTGCATATACTGTATTACAGTCTGGTCACACTGGCATTCTGCAATGTGTTTATAAAGTTCATTAACTTTTATAGTGTGTAATCTTCAATATCACTATAATTTGTGACCAATAAAATTGTATAATTGCCCCTCAACCACTGATATGTCCAATATTTCATGTCAATTTATTGATTTATTTACCAAGTGGTCATAGTCCTCAACCTGCCAAGAGTTTATTTTGTGATAAAGATCAACTGACTGTGCATTATCCCCTGTTTCGGATTCGAAGATGAAATGCTGCTTTTAGGAATTCTATATTTTGAATTACTTAAATTTTGAGCATTTAGAAGACGTTTTTTCTTACCTGTCGTTCTGCTCACCTCAATTGTACTTTGGTCTGTTTTCATTGAACACCCTCCATCTGTCCCGAAAAATGGCTGTGTTAAATTAAACAATTGAATGAATACACACATATGTTAGTGCCATTTTTTCTAAATTGCAAATTTTACACTCTCCGTCTGTCTCTCTCAGATCCTAATCAGCGGATGGGAGTAATAGCTGCTGGAACGCTGGTAACATTCCTGCTGGTGGTTCTTCTGTCTCTGCTGTGCTGCTGCTTCCTCTGTAGCAACAAAGACAACCGCAAGTGAGTGCAAATCCACACTAGTTTCTCAATCCAGTTCTTAGTCAGTCCCAGCCTTCTGAATTAAAAGTTAAATCACTGTCTTCAGTTACAGTTTATTGTGCTGAGACAATCACAAGTAAGTTTTTTTGTAGATTGTATGAAGGGTTTAACCATTGGGCCTCATTCATGAAACTTTTGCAAATAAGAGTAAATTTGTGCATAAAATGGACTTTCCCCGAATACTTTCCTCTTGACTCACACATGTTTTGTAAACCTCATGAATTCTAATTATTTGTAAATAGGATGCTTCACTGTTTCAGTGGTTTATCATGTCTTAGGGTGTGTTCACACTTGGCATGTTTAGTTCGATTAAAACGTACCCTGGTGCAATTGCTCTGTTTTTTTGTGGCTGCTGTCATCTGAACCCTGGTGCGCACCAAACAAGCGGACTGGGTCTCACTCCACTTCCAAATTAACTCTGGTGCGGTGCGAATGAAATATAAACGCAACACGGACCAAAGACATGTAAACAAAACAAAAACAGGACATGATGTCACAAGATGCAACCCTAAAAAGGACAGAATGCTCAAGCATACCTGTTTTTTCTCATCATAGTCATGATGTTGTCCATCACAGTTCGGTGCAGGCATCAGAACCGCGTCTCCTCGCAACAGATCTTCGTTTGTGTGTGTGTGTGTGTGTGTGTATGTGTGTGACGGAGGGATTCCTGCCGCTGTTTTGACTCCTTTACACATTTATAAGCTCTTCAAGAGTTCTCAGCTGGTCAAAATACCATCATATGTAGCTACGCAAATACAACAAGCACATTTATCCCGGCACACAGCATTGTTTTGGATGTTCAATAAGTTCCGTCGCAAAATATACGTAATACAATTTTTTGGGTCTGGACCAAACGAGCCACAACTACAAGTGTAAACACACCCAAAGTTTGGTTAGTAAATGTAAGTACTTTTTTAAAATTATTATTCAAAGTAAACAAAATGTATTGAGTGTGTCAGATATACCCCTACACCATTTAAATCATCAAAAATATTTTTCCTCAATTTCAGGGTATCAGTTATTATTCACTAATTATTTGATAACTATTTGACGTTAGAACCCGAAAGTTCTAGAAGAATTCGCAGCTGGTTCCTTTGAGATTTTCCTATGAGGTTTTATCATTTTTTTATGTATGATTCTGTAGTAAACATAACTACACGATACTACGACGTTTTGTTCTATAACGTACACCGCACACACTCACACCCCAAGCTGTCTTATCTAGTTACTTATAAAAAAATTATGATTCCGAAAAGGGAGAGAATTCCTTCAAAATGTGCGTTTTCAATATGGGAGTTTGTAAAACGTCAAAGAATAGTCAAGTTATGTTTACCACAGGCTTTATTTTACACATAAATCGAAAAACCCCATAGGAAAATCTCGAAGGAATCAGCGGTGAATTAGTCTTCCGGGTTCTGACGTATTCCCTGCACCACTCTCTATAATATGCCAAGTTGCTGCTCAAGGAACTTTTTTTATGAATAGAAAGTTCAAAAGAACTGCATTTATTTGAAATAGAAATCTTTTGTAAGCATACTTTCTTTACTGTCACATTCGATCAATGCATCTTTGCTGAATAAAACTATAAAAAAAAGAATATATATATATATATGCGTATATAAATGCCAAATAAGTTTCATATCATAATTAATACCAGTCTATTTATTAGGCATGAGTTTATCTGTCAAATCTTAATTAATCAACAACACTTGCGGTACTGCTCACATAAACTGTGTGAACATAACCAGATTTAGTGCCGTAAAACTGGACTGACAGCGGCGGTGTGAACGTGGCCATTGCGTTTATCTCAAACTCACCCCTGGCAAAGAACATCTTTTAACAAAGCCTGTCATCAGAATTGTTCACAGTTCGCTGAAGTGAAAGCCTCGTCTGTTCTCTGCAGTCAGTCGGGAAAACTCAAGACTCTCGTGTTCTAGAAATCACAGTCGGCTGTTTTCTTAAACTTTCCACCTTTTCTAAATGGCTGGAAAACTACAGAACGTAAGCCTAGATTTCCTCAGTTTGCCAGTGAGGCAGATGAATCCCTACATTTCTCCTTCATTTGAACATTAAATCTATAATCTTAATGGTTAGATGGTGTATACCGTATGCAGTTAATGCTAGTAGGGGTTAACTCTACAATAACACACACCAACAATATAGAATCCATTTCTGAGCAGTGTAATGTTGGTCTAACGTCACCCTTCCTCTTTCAGCCCTGACCAGGAAAACTCCACCAACAGCAAGAAGGCCAAAATAATCCTCTGTGGTGGATTCAGCCGAATCAGCACCAAACTCCCCAGAATCCCTCTGAGGAGACAGAAACTACCCAAAGTTGTTGGTATGTCCTCATTTTCCACAATCTAAAATTACATATGGTTCAGTCAGTGTGCCATGAGTAAACTGAACCACACAACAGATATGCACTTAATATGATGTGCCTGATGTGAAGTCTTCAATGGTTTAACAAAAACAGCATGTTTAGCGAGTATATTACTGACATCCTTTTTCATGATGTTTTATTGCAAATCCCCTTTAGCACAAACAGTGTCATTTTTAATATTGGCAACCTAAATGTTCATTTAAACGTTTGTTTGTGTGAACGCTCCTTAAAGGGGTAGTTCACCCAAAAAATTTAAATCGTGTTATTTAAAACATCCTAACATCGTTCCGAACCCATCTGACTTTCATTCTTCTGCGGAACCTAAAAGATATTCTGAAGAATGTTGGGAACCAAACAACATTGGACTCCATTGACTTCTATTGTAGGGACATAAAAAAAAAACTAGGATATTTTGCTAAATATCTTCTTTTATGTTTCATGACATGAGAATGTTAAACAACATGAGGATGTTGACAATTAAATTGTATAATCCTCACATCATTCCAAACCTGTATGACTTTTCCTCTGCGTAACATAAAAGAAAATATTTTGAAGAACGTTGGGAACCAAACAACATTGAACCACATTGAATTCTTTTGTAGGGAGTAAACTTTCCCTTTACGTAAATCATTTGTTGGTTGACTTACCTATTTGGCACTTTCAAATCATTGCTGTGTTGAGTTGTTTGTCAAATCAAAATCTGCCTCAACCAATGGCGTGAGTTTGGACCGGGGCTCTCTGTTTCCCTGACCAATGCCAGACGGGGCAGTGGTTGGGAACCTGTTTGAAAGCAATAATCATTTTTGCAATTATGTTTGGTGCCTCTACTGGCTAAAAGCCCCAGTCAGAATGAAAAGCGCTCTGCGTTGACCCAAACAAAGTCTTTAGGGTTTCATCTGAATGGAATGCTCTGGGTGCACGTCTTATTTCCCTTGGCTCCATGTGAAGCTTCAAGTCCTTATTAATCTGTACCCAAACAGACATTCGTTTTCTTTTTCCCTGCATTTCTCCCCTCATTTCCCTATTTCTTATTAAAACAGACGGCTGGGAGCTGAATGTTCCCCCAATCAAAGACTCCTCTGTTTTTGCCAGGATGGAACCCCTGTGTGGAGTTCTTGTGGTTGAGGAACTGTATGGGCTGCTCCTGCCAGGAGCTGGTCTTAGAGAGAATATTAAAGTGGCCATGCAAACATTTTATACTTTTTTAAGGCAGTTTGTTTGGAATATTCATTTTGGACTTGGATTCAGAGACCAAATCGTAAAAGGCACGGCATATTAAGTTAGCACTGCCTAACACTAAATTAAGTGAATTGGACTTTTTAAATATAGAAAACCATGGGTTAGTTTTGCAGCTGTTTTTCTGTAGCATGCACAAAAACAAGAGGTCAAATGGTAAAACTACAATAATTCTCATTTTGTTAACATTAGTTAATGCATTAACTGACATGAACTAACAATGAGCATTATATGTTTACAGCATTTATTAACCTTTGTTATTGTTAGTTAATAAAAATGTTCATGTTACATCACAGTGCATTAAAGGTTGAGTTCACCCAAAAAGAAAATTCTGTTATTAAAGGTAGGGTAGGCAATTTCGGAGCGGCTAGCAATAGCAAGCTAGCTTTGAAAGCATGAGATCCCACCCTCCCTTTAGAGCGTCTCCAAATCCACACATCCTTAAAAACGCATTAACGCACACTGAAGTGTCTGCACAGGGTCACAAGACATGGCGTGAACGCAGCATAAGCTCAATGTTTTGGTCCAGGAGGAACTTTAAAGGGGAACTTGGCAACTCTAGTCATTTCTTTGCTGATTTTCACTTTTGTTGTCGCATGTTTTCTCATCGAGCTCCCCCTACAGCTGTGCGGCGTATATTTTCACAACACTGTCATAAAAAACTCACTTGCGGCGCCTTCCTCCCGCTGCTTATGTGCATTTGTTATTATCGGAGTCGGCCAACTTTATCGCGTGGAGCTATGTCTACCGAGTGGGTGATACATCATACACAGTATCATAGAATTATGTCGAATTGCCATAAAGAAGTTCGTGTTTCTCGCTCGTTCTCGCTTCTCACGAGACTTCCTATTTCCAACTTACCGGGACGTTAGTGCCGATGTTGCAAGGTTGGTTTTCCGCCTGGGAACGCTGGGGGGAGCGGGGAAAGTCACCATTCTCTCCAGAACAGGTTATTAAACCATTCAAATGATTTCTAAACGGTTTCATTAAGTTGAAATAGTTGCCAAGTGCCCCTTTAAAATGGGGCTGCAGTGTGGCGCTCGGTGACTGTCTACAACTCTGCACAGCTTTACGGAATGCGCTGACGACGTGTAATGTATGTGCGAGCAGGGTTTATGAAGGTATGGAAATACATATGTTGACAGGCAGGTAGGGCATTGAATGCAATGATTATTAGACGACCATTTTTTGGTCCTATGACTTCCACAGAATATATACGCATTTTAATATTTAGACCACTTCTATTATTGATTGCTATAAGGATGTGAAGAGAATTTTAACCAGTATAACAAAAAGTGTTTGAAACAAAAATTGCATACCCTACCTTTAATTACACACCCTCATGTCGTTCCAACCCCGCAAGACTGTCGTTCATCTTCGGAAGACAAATGAAGATCTTTTTAATGAAATATAAGAGCTTTCTGTCCCTCCATTGACAGCCTACGCATTACGCAAACACCATTTTCAAGGCCCAGAAAAGTTTTACATGATAAAACGATAGATATTCCATTTAAGATGAAAGTTTTTTAGATATTAGAATGTGTCTAAATGTGTTAAATGTTCATATTTAAAGGGATAGTTCACTTTGAAATTAATTTTTGATATGTTTTAGCTTACCTCAAGGGCATCCAAGATGTAGGTGTCTTTGTTTCCGCAGTAGTTTCAATTTTGATATTTTTAGGTCAAACCGTTCTTGTCTGTCAGTCATATAATGCAGGTCTATGGTCACCACCTCAAAGAGCATGCACAGAGAAGTCCACATTAAACATAGAGAGTAGGGGTGGAACGGTACACAGAAGTTACGGTTCGGTTCATACCTCGGTTCAGACGTCACGGTTCGGTATGATTTCGGTACAATGGAGTGAAAAGCAAAACAAAAATGCAGAAGGCATTTTTGTCTTAAGCCTTGTATTTTTTAAATAAGTTTTATTAATAAAGGCATAGAACCAGTTTATTTGTAGTGCACTGACAATAATAAAAAGATGAAAAGACCTTGAGATATGTTTGGTAATTGTGCCTGAATGAATTTAAAATTAATTTACTATTTCAGATCAATATATTTGTTTTCCTTCATTTTAGTTAACCCTAACTTTATTCTCATCTGAATTATAAATAGTTGATTTCCGTATAAAATAATACTACCATTCAAAACTTTTGTTAACAGTTGTAGGCAGGGACGTGCACAGACATTTTGAGGGGCAGGGGCTCAAGTGAAAAAAAGGGCACTTCTCATAATTACGTTTTTTTTTTTTTTCACTTTTTTTAAACAAAAAAGTATATATATTAACAACTCTGACTTTTAAAAAAAATTAATTAAAAAAGTTAATTAATTTTATCTTCCTCAAACTCACACAATTGTTTCACGCATGACTGTATCATCATCATCAAATAAAACCTTCAAAATTCACAATTAGATGGAGTTTGTTTTAAACTATCCTCCATCTGTTTGCATCTGTAGCAGGGGTGTCACTAGGATTTTCATTTTAGGGGGGCTAAGCCCCCAATGAGTGTATATATATATATATATATTTTTTTTTTTTAAATAAAAAAAAGGTAACACTAGTTTAGGATCTAATGCTCACTATTAATCAGTTTCATTACCATGCAAAGTCAGGGTTTTATAATCACTGTGGTCCCAAATGTGAAGTACGGAAGAGGGTTCGGTGTTTCCCCGAGAAAATTTTGATTTCTCTGATCTACATATGTGCATTTTAAGATGTTTTGAAGGCCAAAAAAAATGGATAACAGCTTTAAAACCATGTCAGTGGGCAGCTGATTATTTTTCTCTCCTCATCATCATCACACTCTTTTTCTCTTTGTTTTTATCTTGCCCTGTCTCTTCCCCTCCTAAAGCTGAGCTTTGACTGATATAGGCTTTTCATTTTTTGTCTGTCATTGAAGAAAGTAAACATACTGATAGGTTGATTTTGCCTATGAATCCTTTTCTCAGACGCGTTTATTTACTGAAAGCTACTAAAGGTAATTAAGTTAATTAAATGCATTCACAATATGTAGGCTACACATTCATTATTGATCTTATGCCTAATACAGGGCCGTAGACAGGGCTTTATAATCAAAGAGGTCCTAAATTTGAGGTTGGTAGGGGGTTCAAATTTTTTATTTGTCTGATATGTGCATTTCAAGACGTTTGAAGACCCTAAAAAGGGATAAGAAATAGCTTTAAAACCATGTCAGTGGGCAGTAGATTATTTGTCAATACCTGCTCTCTTCTCATCTCCATCACGCTTTCTTTTTTCTCAGTCTCTTCATCCCTTTCTCTTCCCCTCCTAAAGCTGAGCTTTTTTTTTAATTTACCAAAGGCTACAATTTGTATTATATTCTCATTCGTATAATATAATGAATATGTACACATTCATTATTAATCTTGTGCCGAACATGATGAAAACGGCTTTGTTAATGTGTCTTGTCCCCTCACAATGACAGTAAACTAATTATTACATTACATGAGTCACGTTACATAGGCCTATTTTCAGTTCAAAATGGCGAAATTAGACAAAACTATATTAGTTTGCCTGATTATTTTTAGTCATTCGTTTAACATTTACGACCTAAAAAAATGTCAAATATGAAATGTTAAGTTTAGCTACTTACTTATCTCGCACTTGACCGTCCGCGTCGAGTTGCACTGTTAAAATGGTTAAAATTCGCGCGCAGCAGCGTCTGTGAACATAAAGCCCGCCTACTTTGATTTGATTGGTCAT